CACTTTTATTTAAAAATTTATTTTAATTTTTTTAATTATATGTTATTTTACTTGATCTACATGTTGTAAATTCTATTATTTTTAAACAAAATACATGAAAACACAAAGTGTTTCAAACTCACTAATAATATATAAAGAGATTTAGGTCATCATATTAGTCATTATTTTTTAATTAATAAAAAAATAATTATGAAAAATGCTATCTTTATTTTTTTATATTTATCATTTTAATTTTTTTCTTCAATTAAAAAGTTTAAGATAATTGTGCTGTCACGGTCGGATACCGAAAGGATGTCTCTACTTACGATAACTTAGCCCCCGCCTCGACCGGCTCCCTAAGAGCCTCTCGGTTAATAGCTGACCCTATCTCATCATCGGCAATAGGGCGAACCTGACCCTCTACTCGACAAATACCCGACTATGCCGCCAGGCCCTAAGCCCTCTCGCCTTATAGGCTCAGGGCTGGAAGGCAAGTGTACCGTCCAGGTCGTAATCCGACCTGATCTCCCTAACGGCAGTAGGGCAACCCTGACCCTCTACTTAGCAAATACTCGACTATGCCGCCAGGCCCTAGGCCCTCTCGCCTTATAGGCTCAGGGCTGAAAGGCAAGTGTACCGTCCAGGTCGTAATCCGACCTGATCTCCCTAATGGAAGTAGGGCGACCCTGACCCTCTACTCGGTCGTAACTCGATTTCCACTCGCCTATAAAAGGGGGTTCTCGGGATTCACACGTAATCGGTCAGAGCCCGACTCGACTTGTCCTCACTCACCCTACACCCTCAAAATAACCCAGTCGGTCAGAACCCGACTCGACTTGCTCTCACTCACCCTGCACCCTAGAGATAACGACGGTTAAGGAAAGTCCTTCATTCTCGGGGCCCAAGAGGCCCATGAACGAGGTACCATAAAACCCAAAACCCTAGAGCTGAGGAGACAGATTACACTTTTGAATTCTCTAGCTTTGAGGCTTGACCTAGGAAGAATCCCTAGTCCACCCTTTGGCCGGAACATTTTGGCGCCCACCGTGGGGCTACGGTGAAACTTTTCCTACGCCCCAAGAAACACAAAAAACCTATACTTTACCATGGCGAGAGGCGGCAACAACAACAACAACTCACAACCCCCTACCATGAAGAGATGATGGCCATGATCAATGGCTTAAGGGAGGAGAATGCGCGATCCAGGGAGAGAGAGGAGGCCATTCAACGTGAAAACGAAGAGATCAGAAGGCGCGCAGACGAGATGCAGGCCAGAATAGCGGCCAGCACCAGGACAATGGAGGAAGACGTCATGATGGAAGTCCCCAGGGATTTCCGACCTTTCTCGGAGGCCATAGAAGCCGAGATCATCCCCAGGGATCATCGGATTCCCCAAGTGGAACCTTTCGATGGAACCCAGGATCCCAGTCAGCACTTGACAGACTTCCGAGCTCAAATGTTGATCTGTGGAGGGAGCATGGAGGTCCGCTGCAAATTGTTCATGGGCACACTCAAGAAGGCGACGCTTGATTGGTTCAGCGGTCTTCCCGACTGATCAATCACCGATTTCGACGTCTTTAGCCGACTCTTTATGGCACAGTTTGCTGCTAACAACAAGAAGTCGCATGTCGGATTTGTTCGACCTTAGGCAGCAACGTGAGGAGTCACTAAAAGATTTTCTACAAAGGTTCAACGAGGTCGCACTGAGGATCGCATCGTTGGACGAGAGGATGGCGGTAATTGCGTTCCAGAAGGGTCTAAGGTCCGGGGCTTTCGACATCGCGCTCGAAAAAGTAAACTGTCAGACGATGTCGGAGGTGAGGGTTTTCGCCTTGAGCCACATCAAGACGTAGGAAAACCATATCATTAAAAGAGCAGCCGAAAGCCGAGAGGCCGGGGGCAGTAATAAGCAAGACAACAAGCATCTCCGACCGCGATCAGATTGGAGCAAGCGACGTGATCGGTACAACATGAGGGAGGGCAATCACCGACAGGCCGATCATGGTGGTCGGGCAAGGGGCGAATGGACACGCAACAATGATGAAGAGAAATTTACTCTACTCAATGTTCCCAGGCGACAGATACTTCACGATGTCAACAACGCATCGTTGTTTGAATTTCCAGCAGCGACAGAGCGCCAGTTGGGACCCTTTAAAACTGATTGGTGTGAGTTCCATAGAACCCACGCACATTCCACTGAAAATTTCTTCGTTCTAGGGAGGCAGATCAAGCGTTTGATCAAGGAAGGGCGACTGAAGCAGTTTGTGGCAAGGAAACAGGAAGGAGGCTCGTCGGATAGGTGACACAGGCGCGCACAAGATGACACCCGCAGAGATGGGCGTAGGGAGAGAACACCTCCCCGAGACACGCCAACGAAGTTGTCAGAAACCCACCAGCAACCCATCCACGGCGATTTCAATACCATCGCAGGGGGCTTCGCCGGTGGGGGAGCTACCTCTGCTGCCCGAAAGAGGTACACTCAGTCGGTGCTGACAGTGTCGAAATTCAGGCGACCATCTCAGCTTGAGATTTCATTTTCAGACTCAGATTACGAAGGAGTAGCCCCTCATGAGGACGACCCCATCGTCGTATCGGCGATCGTCATGGGGTACAATGTGAAGCGTGTGTTGATTGACCAGGGAAGTTTCGTGGATATTTTATTTTGGGAAACCTTTGAGGGGATGAAAATACCTAACGACCGACTAATTCCTTATGCAGGGACCCTAGTGGGTTTTGCAGGAGACCAGGTCATCGCAAGGCGATACGCCGATCTGGAGACGACCTTTGGCTAAGGAGCTCATATGAAGACGGTGGTCGTTCGATATTTGGTGGTCAATGCTCAGTCATCCTACAGCATACTGATCGCCAGACCGACCCTGAACAAGCTAGGAGCGATAGTGTCTACTTCCCATCTGAAGGTAAAGTACCCGTTGCCGAGCGGTGATGTAGGGGTTCTCAGGGTGCACCAGGAGGTTGCTCGGAAATGCTAAGGGGATAGTTTAAAGGCACGAAGGTGACTGTACACTGCGCAGGTAGATCAGGAGGTCCACTCCGTCGATTTAGATCCTAGAGTGAGCCATTTCGATCGTCGACCAGCCCCTGCTGAGGACATTAAAGAAGTGACAGTGGCCGAAGGAAAGAAAGTGAAGGTTGGTACATCCTTGAGTTAGGAGGACGCGGGGAAACTGATTGAAGTATTGAAAGCAAACATGTCGGCATTCGCGTGGCACGTCAAAGACATGCCAGGAGTAGACCCCGACTTCATGTGCCACAAACTGGCCATGGACCCACGTGCAAAGCCAGTCATCCAGAAGAGGAGGAAATTCGGCGAGGAGAAGCGTAAAGCCATTGCCGAAGAGACCAACAAGTTACTGATGGCAGGATACATACGAGAAATACAATACCCGACCTGGCTTGCAAACGTCGTGATGGTACGTAAGAGTAGTGGAAAGTGGAGAATGTGCACAGATTTCACCGATTTAAATAAAGCGTGCCCGAAGGATTCGTACCCTCTGCCGAATATAGACTGCCTGGTTGATGGCGCTTCGGGGTATGAACTGCTGAGCTTCATGGACGCGTATTCGGGTTATAATCAGATCCGAATGCACCCAGCAGACGAGGACAAAACCGTGTTCATCGCCGATCAAGCTAACTAGTACTACAAGGTAATGTCTTTTGGCTTGAAGAATGTAGGTGCAACGTATCAGCGTTTGATGGACAAGGTGTTGGTGAACCAGCTGGGTAGGAACGTGGAAGCTTATGTAGACGACATGGTGGTGAAGTCAATGAGTTTAGATCGGCATTTAGATGACCTGCGGGAACTATTTGAGACCATAGGCAAGTATCAGCTCAAGTTGAACCCCGAGAAATGTTCTTTTGGGGTCCAAGCGGGAAAGTTCCTCGGTTTCCTGCTAACTCATCGTGGCATCGAGGCAAATCCCGAGAAGTGCACGGCGATCATCAACATGAGGAGTCCTTCCACAGCGAAGGAGGTCCAACAGCTCACGGGAAGAATGGCTTCGTTGTCTCGTTTTCTGTCCAAATCAGCCGACAAGGCGTTACCAATTTTCCAATGTCTAAGGAAGAATAATCGGTTCGCTTGGACGAACGAGTGCGAGGAGGCCTTCACAGAACTCAAGAAATCATTAGCATCGCCGCCGATCCTGACAAAACCACGACTGAATCTCCCCCTATTGATTTATATATCAGCATCCGACCGAGCGGTCAGTGCAATTTTAATCCAAGAGCAGGAAGGCACTCAAGTTCCTGTGTATTTCGTGAGTCGGGTCCTACAGGGGGCAGAACCAAGGTATCAGAAGATTGAGAAGTTGGCTCTTGCAATACTAGTTACAGCGCGCAAGTTAAGACACTATTTCCAGAGTTATGAGGTAATAGTCCGGATGGATCATCCGATTAGGCAAGTATTACAGAAGCCCGACCTGGCAGGAAGGATGATGAAGTGGTCTATAGAGCTATTAGAGTATTCTATCAAGTACGAGCCGAGAGGAGCAATCAAAGCTCAAGCACTAGCCAATTTCGTGATGGAGTTGACCTCTCCCGCCGATGAGGGCGAAATCGGAGAGACACAGTGGATCCTATCAGTGGATGGAGCCTTGAACCTCGGAGGAAGTGGAGCAGGGATCGTCTTGGAAGGACCGGGAGGAATTTTGTTAGAACAATCACTACGTTTTGAATTCCGAGCAAGCAACAACCAGGCCGAGTACAAAGCGTTGTTAGCTGGCATGGTGTTGGCAAAGGAAATGGGGGCGACGAGTTTGTCAGCCCGAAGTGACTCTCAGCTGATCACGGGACAAGTCGCGGGAACTTTCCAAGCGAAGGATCCCCAGTTGGCCAAGTACTTGGAAAAAGTTAAGCTCTTATCGGATAATTTTCGAGAGTTCACACTTAACCACGTACCGCGGGAGCAGAATTCGAGAGCAGATCTCCTCTCCAAGTTAGCAAGCACAAAGAAGCCGGGTGATGGAGTTGAGTTGAAGAAGATTGATGAACTTCAACACCTCCATGCTTAGGACCGAAATGCTTTGAGGTTGACTCCAAGAGAAGCTCGAAATTCTCCTTGAAGAAGCCTTCAATGGAGGAGAAGCCTTGAATGGAGGTTCGGTTACTTCAAGCTTGAAGTAGAAGCTTGATGAACCAAGACAAAGTTTGAATAAACTTTGAGAGAAACCTTAGAGAGAGAGTTCTCCACGGTTCTAGGGACTCTTGAGTGAGAGAGAAATCTGATTTCTATTCTCATAAATCTTCAAAAGTGAGTACAAGTGTAGAGAAAACAAATATATAGGGAGAGGTAGCTTGTAGGAGAAGCTATCCTTAACCATGGTTCATTAGGAACCATGGTAGGGTTAACTTAAACTCCCACGGTTTAGCTAGCTTGTAGGAGAAGCTAACCTTGACCATGGTTCACTTAAGAACCATGGTAAGGTAAGCTAACTTTACAAAGGTTTAGAAGCTTGCAAGGCAAGCTTCCAACCTTTGAAGTGAGACAAGCAATTTTCGGCCAAGGAGGAAGAAACTAGCTAGGCGGCCTTGGATGCATTTGGCTCCATGATTTTATTTGAAAAACTTTGATTTGGTTTAGTTAGGTTCATCATATGATGATGAAACTTAGCTAAATCAAATCTATGAAAAATTAGGAGCAAAATGAGTCCAATATGCAAAATTTTGTCTAGGCCCAGTTCTGGCCCAATTACTAATCACACCCCAAGCATTGCTAAATGTCACACCCTTTTCCCTACTGAAAAAATATAAAATGAATGTATAACTAGGAAGGTTAAATGGAGTTAAACTCTCCAAGTGACCTACCTTGAAAACAATATACAAACACTAACAAAAACAAATAAACTGCCTCACAAATACAAAGGCAAAAATAACCTATACAAAAGACTATTTGAAAACTATACAATATATACAAGTAGAACTAGGCATTCTCTTCATGATAGAGCATTCCAAGTGAAGATTACCTTGGGCTTGACAAGCCCACTAGTCTTTACAAGGTCCAACTCTTCCTGTATTCTTCTAGCCATAGCTCTAGTCACTAGACCCTTGGTCCATGGTCTATCAGTTCAAAAATGTGATGGATGTCAAAGGCATGCAACTCTGCACCACTCCCCAGGTGAACGACTCCACTCGATCCTGTCTCCTTGGCCATTCAACAAGTGGGGTATTGACATTCTCGGTCCATTTCCGATTGCTGTGAGATAGTTAAAATTCTTGATAGTGGCCGTGGACTACTTCAGCAAATGGATTGAGGCAGAGCCTATAGCAACCATCTCTGCAGAGAAGGTTAGAGCTTTTTTATGGAAGAATGTGGTGTGCAGGTATGGCGTTCCCCAGGTACTAGTTTCTGACAATGGGACACAATTTGCAAGCGCAAGAGTTCGTGATTTCTGTAGGCAGATCGGTATCCGAACGACATTCACCTCCGTTGAGCACCCTCAATCTAATGGCCAGGCGGAGTCGGCAAACAAGGTTATACTCTCGGGTTTGAAGAAGCGCGTCCAAGACTCAGGCGCTTCATGGGTGGAGGAGCTTCCCCGGGTGCTATGGTCATACCACACAACTGTTCATTCGTCGACCCAGGACACTCCTTTCAACTTAGTATATGGAACAGACGCCATGATCCCGATCGAAATTGCGGAACCTTCAGTACGTACTACAGCCTTTTCGGAGGAGGAGTCTGACTAGGGAAGACGGGTTGATCTGGACTTGATCGCAGAGACAAGAGAGAGTGCAAGGATAAACCAAGTAGCGGCCCAGAGAAGAGCAGCTTTCAAGTACAACACGAAGGTCGTCCCAAGAGACTTTGTTGTGGGAGACCTCGTTTTGAAGCGTGCTTAGATAACACAGATGAGGAACAAGCTGTCGCTTAAATGGGTCAGACCTTATAAAATCAATGACGTCGTCGGCAAAGGAGCTTACCGACTGAGAACCTTGGATGGAGGGATGATACCGAGAACGTGGAACGCTGCAAATCTACGCTTCTATTATAGCTAGACCTTTCTTTCCATTTGTATTAGGTGCACTCTTTTCCTAACTCAGTATTTTTTCCCCGTAAAAATATAAGGGGTTTTTGCTGAGAAGGTTTTTAATGAGGCACCACCCTTTTTCAATTCCAATAAACGTCAATACATTGTTTTCTCTCATGACTCTTAACATGTTTTATTTAAAAGGTACACAAACTCGTGATTGTCGGCAAAAGTCCGACTAGGCGAGTATAAATAACTCGAAGACACAAACTCGTGATTGTCGGCAAAAGTCCGACTGGGCGAGTATAAATAACTCGAAGACACAAACTCATGATTGTCGGCAAAAGTCTAACTGGGCGAGTATAAATAACTCGAAGACACAAACTCATGATTGTCGGCAAAAGTCTAACTGGGCGAGTATAAATAACTCGAAGACACAAACTCGTGATTGTCGGCAATTCCATACAGCCAAGTCGGGATAATGATGATTCACTTATTTGGGAATTTCAATTTTCAACTTGAACAAAATTCTCACCCATCATTCGATTCGGAATTTTGACGACTGCTTAGACTGATGCCTCACTTTCGAAAAGTTGTTGTATACGAGTCGGAAGTTTGCCGACTCCCTTCACAGTAATTTAACTTAGAAAATCCTCTAGGTTTGTCATATGAATCGGATCCCCGAAGTATTAATTTTTACTTGGAAAACTTTTACAACATGTCATGTTCATCGGCATTTTACCGACTGGATCAGCGAAATATTAATTTTACTCAGAATTCTGTAGCATGTCACGCAAATCGGAATCTGGACGATTGGTTACGTCGAATTTAGTTTTTATCTTAGAGAAATTTCCCACATTATTGCGGGTCGGCATTTGGTCGTTCGTACAGTCAAAATTCCATTCCAAGCTTATGAAATCTCACAAAATTCCGAATCGGCATTTTGCCGACCACATGGTTAAGTTATATTTAAACAAAAAAGTTTTCCAATCATTTGGGTCAGTATGGGGCCGATCGCGTGCTTACGTTTCTTTCGACTTAAAAATTTTCCATACACAATTTGCAGTCGGTACTGGGCCGATCTCATGGTCAAATGGCATCTAAACCCAAAAAGTTTCTAATTATTTCCAGTCGGTTTATCACCGATCATTTGGTTAATTATCGACTATTTTCTAGGTTATTCCGAATCGGCATGGCTACGTAAGTCAAATCAGCGTCTCACCGGTCCCCTAGTCACTCGGCCAATATCAGATTTGTTTTTCCTCGATATGAACCAGGTCGGCCATGGGCCGACCCAAGCCGCTCCATGATCGTCAAAATAAAAATACTTAGAGTTTATACTTGTTGTACCTATCAGCGTTTGACAAATTTGTTTTCACTTTTCACTTAGGGAATTTTTACTTGTTATACCAATCGGAATTTGAACGATTAGGTTCAGAAAATATCACTTTTCACTTAGAGAAAATTTTAACTTGCTATACCAATCAGAATTTGAACGATTAGGTTCAAAAAATATCACTTTTCACTTAGAGAAAATTTTTACTTGTTATACCAATCGAAATTTGAACGATTAGGTTCAGAAAAAATCACTTTTCACTTGGACAATATTTTTAGTTATCCAATTGGAATTTCTAATTATTTACTTAGAAAATGTCCCACTCTCTATGAGTCGGAATTTGGGCGAGTTGATCCCTGTTCAACTTAGAAAATTTCCTCGTTTCGGCGATTTAGCTCGAAAAACGCTTATTTTAAAACTTAGAAAAACTTTGGTCGTTTGGTCGTTATCCAATTTCTTTCGGTCAATTTAAAAACTCAAAAATAAACAATGCAACAGGGAACATAAGCAAGACTTAGATCGAAATGCAAAGAAAATGTCAAACCTTCAAAAATTAAAGTTCATACATTATAGGAAACTTAGAAAAATAGAAAAAGGATATGCATAAAGTTCACACAAAACGATTACAAAGAAATTCTAAGGCAAGGGGTTATCAAACAAGTCCAATCATCTTCCGGGGGATCTACTAGTTCCCCATTCACAATTTCTTTAAAGCAGCCAAGCCCACCAAGATCTATATTGGCGTGGAGAAGCTTCACTTGACTTGTGGCAGCATCAAAACCTTGAACGAACTTCGTAAGAGAGTCCATCTTGGCCGCTTCAAGGTCCTTTTGAAGATTCTCCACCTCAATTTTCATCATGGATAAGTCATTCTCAAAGACATTAGCGGCATCGGCAGACTTGTCCCGAGACAGGCGTGTTTCCTCCAACTCTTTCTCCATCGCCATCTTCTCGGCAACCCAAGCTTTCTTCTCATCCTCAAAGGCGCGGCGACCTTCTAGCAATTTATCTCGTTCATTGGATATCCATTTGAAGTCAGCCTTGCTCTTATTCAAGCTGTCCTCCAAAGAAGAGATCATTTTCCCCTGCACCTTGGTCTCTCTCACTAGCCCCCGAATCTTGTCTTCGTTAACAAGCAAGAGAGCCGAGAGACGGTTGGTCAGCGACTCAATCCCTTTAGCAATTGAGAAAGCACTCATTTTTTCTGAGTCTTCACGGTCTCCCTCTAGCAGGTCAGTCCCACGAATATGGGCACTGTGGTTGAACTTTTCATCCAAGAAAGAAACCAAGTCACCACGATCGATGCCGTGATCAACTGGCTCCCAATTCTCACCAAGGCAAGCGCTGATAGTCCTTTCAGCCGATTGGACCTCCGTGTCGCCCTTATCCCCTTCAGAGGCCATAATGGTATCCAAGTTGACTATCGAAATGGGTCTGTCAGTTTCGTGGTGACGCTTATGCGAAGTTTCGCCCACATTTTTCGCCAATGTCGCAGGACTCGCAACCACGACAACCCTCTCGGTGACCGACTCGCCAACACCAGCAACTTGGGAAGCCTTTTGTTGCTTCCATAACTTCATCATCTCACGAGTTCCGAAGCTAGCCATTCTATCTGCAAGAAATGCACCCGATAATTAATAATGATAACAGAGGCCAAAGATGAAATAAACAAATTTCAACATTCAAACAAGCGCAAAATACCTATATATATTCTCAACTCTTGGGGCCTATTTTCTAGATCTAGAAGTTTCGCGGTGTTGAAAAGGGTTTTCAGGTCTTCAAGTTTTTTAACGTTCTCTCGGTCATCCTCCGGGAGTGACTCAGGATTTAGCCCACCAAAAGAGATCGGTTGCTTGTTCCAGAAAAGAGGAATCCCTCAAGTAAACCCTCGTGCCCAGGTAGGCACCGAATGCGAAAAAAGGACCTTTTAAAGTCCTTGTAGGATGATTGAAAGAGAGATAGAAAACCTCGACCCGACACACTACCCACTGAAACCCAGCTACTACGTTTGGAGACACGGGCTTCGAAGAAATAAAAGAATTTACTAGGAGTCGGTGTTATTCCGAGACTAGAACACAAAACTACAAGCCCCCTAACAAAGGCCCAACTATTTGGGTGGAATTGGGTAGGGGCTACGTTCAAGGCCCTAAGTACCCCCTTTTCGCACTCGGTAAGAGGCCACCTAACCTTAAGTTTAGCAACTAGGGTAACATAACAAAAGGTAAAACGTTCCGAGGCTGAACTAATACACATTGGCTCTTTATCCACACAAGGCTCGCACACTAGGATATTATTAGAACCCCGACTCACTACATGTTCATTATTGAAACTCTCCATGGCAGCCCAATAATTTATACAAGAGTCACACCTCAATACATCATCCTTCACCCATTCATAAATCTCCTTATAATTTACCAGTTCCATAGATTTAAAGCCTATATAACCAAACAACTAGAGCGATAGGCAAAGAACAACTACTAAGCACAATAAGTATTTGGGCGTACCTACCAAGATTTAAAAAAAAAACACTTCCTTTCCTTTAGAAAATGCCTCAGAACCACCGTAAACCACCGTGAGGGGGCAGGGGAAAAGAAAAGCGCTTGCCGGAGAAGAAGCAAGAAAGAAAAAGGAGGGAACCAAAGAGTAAAGTAATTTGTGTAAAAAGGGTATTTATAGGGATGGAGATTCGCGCGTGGGAAAGGACGCGCGTGAAACGCCACGTCTCCTGACCTTTGGGACCCCCAACGCTTCTGCAACGCGCACCAATTGACACGTGGCACTGTCATAATGACTCCCTTCAAGCAACGGCGCTACAATGAATGCACGTCTCTTCAAGGGTAAGGTGAAGAGGCAGGCTTTGGGAACCGTTACGCATCCAACACCCCAAACGTCACTCGAATCGGATCCCGACCCCTTTTAAGCTCTTTCGCCATATTAGCTCAGGGTTGGGAGGCGTTGTGCCATACGGTCAGAGACCGCAAGACATCTCTCTATCGACGATAGCTTGACCGCACCCCAGACCGACCCGCTTAAGCCCTTTCGCCTTAATGGCTCAGGGCTGGAAGGCAAGTGTGCTGTCACGGTCGGATACCGAAAGGATGTCTCTACTTACGATAACTTAGCCCCCGCCTCGACCGGCTCCCTAAGAGCCTCTCGGTTAATAGCCGACCCTATCTCATCATTGGCAATAGGGCAAACTTGACCCTCTACTCGGCAAATACCCGACTATGCCGCTAGGCCCTAAGCCCTCTCGCCTTATAGGCTCAGGGCTGGAAGGCAAGTGTACCTTCCAGGTCGTAATCCGACCTGATCTCCCTAACGGCAGTAGGGCGACCCTGACCCTCTACTCGGCAAATACCCGACTATGCCGCCAGGCCCTAAGC